CGTGAGGCCGGGGGCCCCGGGTTCAGGCTCAGCATCACGGTGGTTGCAGACGTCTCCCTCCGCAGGCCGAGGACTCAGCGTGAGCAACCCCGACGTCCGAGCCTCCTGCCCCGGGCACAGGTCCACTGGGACCTTCCGGAGGCCTTTGCGAGGTCACAGCCCGGCCATCGGCCCCTCACGAGGCCCTGGCTCAGCTCACAGGCGACCAGACACCCCGTCCTGATTCAGAAAGTTGGGGCATGAGCCCACGGGCCGAGCATGGGGCGCTGGGATCCCCAGGAGAACCTGCTGGGCCACCGCAGCCTGCTGTGCCCGTGGATGGGCTAAAGGCCTCGTCGTTTCTCAGAGGCGATGGGGAAGGATTGAGGGGAGCCCTGAGCCCACTGGGCACCTGCCCGGGGGACCCAGCGAGGCTTTGCGCTTGAGTGCTGTCGGAGGCTCCGTGGCCCGGACCAGGGCTCTCTGAGGTCCCCACTCCAAGGCGGAGCGCGTCAGCACCCCCACACCCACCGGAAATCAACACCTCCACACCCCCGTCGCTCTGGTGAGGACGAGCTCAGCCTCCAGCCTGGCGCCCCGTCTTCCTGTCGTGGGGGCGCAGCCCGTGGAAGGCGAGCGGGGGCTCGGAGCCCTGCGGCCTGGCTGTTCCTGTCGGGAGGGGCTGTGTGTCCTGACACGGCTTGCAGGGACAGTCCCTGCCTCTCTCGCAGAGCAGCAGCCGCGGGAGGTCTGGCCCCAGCACAGCAGATGCCAGGACGGCAGTGTGTGTGTGTGTATGTATTTATTTGCAGCATACGTATGTGCGCGCGTGTGTGCACGGGTGCATGTTATGAGTGGGTTCCCTCCGGTTCTGTGGCTGATGCGGCTCCCGGCTCCCCGCTCTGGACACAGCGCTGCTTGGACTCGGGTCTCTGCCCACGAACTTTCCACGCTCACTGGGATTTGCTCCCAGCGCAGCCGCCACCACGGCCTTCTCACGCCTCCTCTGCACGTGTGTACAGATCGTTTTATACGCCAGCCGTCCGTCCGGGCCCGCGGTGCCACGCAGGCGCGGTGTCCGCAGGGCCTCCCCGAGGGCACCGCCTGTGCTCTGCTTCGAGGCCTGTTGGTGCCGGTCTGCGTGGTGGCCCTGGAGCCCTCCCCCCAAACCAAAGTGGAACGGGGCGTGCCCCACCTGTGCCCTGCAGAGCCGCGTGCGGGGCCCTGTGCGCCGCCCTCGCTGCGCCCCCTGAGCTGTCGGAACCACGCGATGCCGTACTTTCTACCGAATTAAACGTGGGCCCCGACGGGGACCGGAGCGCAGGCTCTTCCTTGCTGTGCTGAGCCCTCGGGTTCTCTGGGGTTCGCTGTATGTGACTGAGTTGCCGGGGAGGTCAGAGGTCAGCCTCCCCTGCCTGCTCCCTAGGGTGACCACGGAGGGAGGCAGGATCCCAGCGAAGGGTCCGGTGTGACCGGGGCTCTGCGGGCCTGGGGGGTGAGCCGGGTGTGAGGCCCTGCCCCGACCCCAGACGGGCCCAGTGCTGGGTTCAGACCTCTGGGTTCAAAGGTTGAATGGCCACAGGCCCTGCCACTCCCCACAGGCTGCTCCCCGTCCCCGCTGCCTTCCTGGCTCTGGGGCTGCAAGTCTGAGACCCCTGTGTCCCTGTGGACACGCAGATCCCGGGGTTTGTCTCCAGTGTGGGGTTTGGAAGGCCAGGCCATCGGGGGGCGGCGGGAACTCTGATTGGTCCCCCAGTTCTGGGGAGACCACATTGGGGGAGCCTCTCTCACCAGCGCTGCCCCCGCGGGGTGTGTTGGGGGGAGGGGGGCTGGTGAGTCCAGTCCTGGAAGTGAGGGGACCCATCTCTTGACAACAGAGGCAGGAGCGGCTTTGCCCAGCAGCGGACGTGTCTAAGCAGAAAGGGGGTGGTGGGGGGACGGGGACAGACAGCCGGGCGGGCCTGAGGGCTGATTGGCGACTCCCCTTCCCTCTGTGTGTGGCCCCCACTCAGGAGCCAGCTCTCGGAACACCCTGCTGAGGCGCATGCGTCTTCATGTCACTCTCCCCGGAATGGCCTCCCAGGTGACCCTGCGGGGACCCGAGGCAAAGGCCGCTCCTGGAGGCACCTCGGGCCTCATCGCGTGGGACAGGCTCCGTGGGCGGCGTGGCCTGTGGGTGGGAGAGCCTGGTCTTCCCAGACCCTCACCCGCAGGGCTCCCTGGGGGGCAGCAGGGACGGGGGGTCCTGGGAGGAGGGACAGGGGGCCCTGGAAGGAGGGACAGCGGGTCCTGGGAGGAGGGACAGCAGTCGGCCTGAGGAGCTGCCTTAGTGTCCTGTGGCTGCTGTAACAAGTCACCCCAGACCGAGGGGCTTAAAACAAGGGTGTCATCTCCTAGTCCCGGGGGTCAGAGCCCGGCACCAGCCTCGCGGGCCAAGTCAGTGTGTGGGCTTCATCTTCACATCGCCCTCCGCCCCTCGCCCCTGCCCCTTAGGGACCCTTGGCTGCTTTGGGCCCGCAGCCTCACAGGCCCCTCGCTGTCCCCAGGACGCAGCTCGAAGCTCCTTGGCCAAGTGAGGGACAGTCCAGGCCGGGGCCAGGCGTGGACACCTCCTGGGACCACTGTTCAGCCAATCGCAGCAGGGCGGTCAGTGAGCTGGCCGGATGGTCCAGGGAAGGAGTGGGTGGCCTGTCCTGTCCCTGTGGCTGTGCCCTGTGGGGCCCACGAGGGCCGAGTGGAGGGGCAGCCTCGGACACGCCCGCTCTGAGATGGAGCGCCTTCCTGCTCCTGCCACTGCGGAGTCGGGGTGAGGGGGGCGGGAAAGGCCCGCCTGCCTCTGGAATTCATTCTGCACGTTTCTCCTGAGTGAGCCCAGTGCCACCCCCCCCCCCACACCCCCTCCCGGGCTGTGTCTGCAGCTCCAGGCGGCAGCACGTTGCAGGGCTGGCCTTTGCTGCTGCTGCTGTGTGTGTGTGTGTGTGTGTGTGTGTGTGCGCGCACGCGTGCGTGTGTGCGTGTGTGTGTGTGTGTGTGTGTGTCAGGGCGTCCTCAGCCCCCGGGTCCCGCCTCAGCCACACGGCCGTGCCAGGTCTGGACAGGGCCGTGCCAGGTCTGAGGTCCAGCGGCCTGTGAGTCAGTCATGCTCCCAAGGAAGCAGCTTGCGAAAGCCACACAACCAGAATGTTCCCTGGCCCCCGAGAGCTCAGGGCGGTGGCTGGGGAAGGCTGACCCCCGACCTCACGTCCACGGGTCCAGCTTGGCCCAGGTTGCCAGGGGACCCAGGCCAGCTGGGAAGTGCAGAGTCGCCATGTGCGGTTCCAGCAGCACTTTCTGCACCTGCACTTTGCAGGAGGCCCTGGGCCGGGCACTGGGGTGGGGGTGGGGTGGGTGCTGCTCCGTCACTGATCCGGGCTGGCTCCTGCACCAGGTGTCTGTGGGGAGGCCGTGGGGGGCTGCTGTCCACGAGGGGAGGCTGGGCCGGGCCGGCCGGGCCCACGTTCTCAGCAGCTGCAATTACAGAGCCACCGGGGCAAGTGGGGAGAGCGGGGAGGCCCTGCCTCACCCCTCGTGTGTCTTAGACTTTTTGTCTTCACTTAGCAGCGGTTCTCAACCTTCCTGACGCCGCGGCCCTTTAATACAGTTCCTCATGTGGTGGCGACCCCCGGCCATAACATTATTTCCGTTGCTACTTCATCACTGTAATGTTGCTGTTATGAATCGTCATGTAAATATCTGATATGCAGGATGCATTGCCATTGTTTGTGACCCACAGGTTGAGAACCGCTGAAGAGCATTTAAGGTCCAATTACGCATTTGTCTGTTGATGGCAGGGCCAGTCCTTTCTCTGAGTGTGATCTGCAGGGGGGATTCTGGGTAACCTCCAGGCCATCTGCGGGTCACGTCGGGGTCATCTCCGGGCCAAACCGCACTGGGATGGTGAGCGCTGGCTGCGGCTGTAGCTCCCTAAAGGGCAGGAGGCCGCAGAGCCCTCTGGGCCGAGCCCCGAGGTGATCTCCTTCCTGTGCTTTGCAGAGAGGCGCTTGCCAAGGCGGGTTGGGGGTGCTGGGGACCCCCGAGGTCTTCGAGGAGATGAACCAAGATGCCCCCCACCCTCTGCACGCCCCCGCGCATGTGCAGGGACCGGTCCCAGCGTCCCCGCTGCTCCGACGGCC